GGAGAGCGATGTGGCTGCGCAGTGATCCAGAACAAGGAGGTGAGTGTGATCGCGATTCTCCAGGTTAAAAAAGACCACATCAGGGCCGGAGCAATTTAAACCGCTCCCAGCATGCCGTCTGACAGCACTCATTGTGTATGAAATACGTGATGAAGGGATAGAAATATCAGGGATGGTTATGAGAGTTTTGATATGGTTAGAGCTGAATGTTTATATATTTAACATGTCATATTTCGCTTGGATTTTTTTTAAAAAAACATCCTAATAGAAAGGTGGGCTAGGAATTCAGTAAATATACAAACAAGTTTTTTAAAAAGAACAGACCATGGTTACTTGATAAAAGCCCAAAAGAGTAAAACATCTCAACTAGTCATTAATAGCTATAGAATGTGCACAAAATGTATGACGAGACAGCACATCTCCCTTGGAGTAGTCTGTTTTGTCTGCTCTCCTCATTACTTTAGACCAAAGGATTTTTCTGCAGTGGATTTGTGTCTACTAATTGGATTTGTGTCTACTAATGCTTTTGCATAGGAATGTTACATGTGAAGAGAAAGAAGAGTACGTTTTTATATCTCACTTTCTCTACCTTAAGGAGTCTCAAAGTGGAATCACATTTCCTTCCTCTCCACACAAGAAGCAGTTTGTGAGGTAGGAGTGCCTGAGAGAGTTGCAAACTCTTCATGTCTATCAAAAACCCCAAGGAGTTTTCCTAGATGTTGTTTTAAACTCTGCTACACACAAATGCTTTCAAGAATACTGTGTTTTTAATATTGGATTTGTGTCTACTAATGCTTTTGCATAGGAATGTTACATATGAAGAGAAAGAAGAGTAGGTTTTTATATCTCACTTCCTCTACCTTAAGGAGTCTCCAAGTGGAATCACATTTCCTTCCTCTCCCCACAAGAAGCACTTTGTGAGGTAGGAGTGCCTGAGAGAGTTCTGAGAAAACTGTGACTGGCCCAAGGTCACCCAGCAGGCTCAATGCGTAGTAGTGGGAAATCAAACCCTGTTCTCCAGATTAGAGTTCACCTGTCTTAACCAACACACCATGCTGGCTCTGAGCCCCACAGCCAGGGCCTGAAGGCTTTACAATAGGCTTCCCTGGGAGACTTCCCTGGGATTACAATAATAATCCACCTTTCTGGATGACACATCAGCATTGGACCCATTCCATTCTGGCTTCCGCCCTTGCCATGGGACGAAGATGGTGTTGGTTGCCCTGACAATCTCCGTAGACAGCTGGATTGAGAGGGGTCGGCGTTACTATTATTAGATCTTATGGCAGCGTTCAACATGGTAGACTACGATCTTTTGACCCACCGCCTCACCGACGTAGGAGTTTGGGGGTTGACCCTTCAATGGCTTACTTCATTCCTTCATGTTCAGAGATAGAGAGTGGCGCTGGGAGAGAATGTGTCCTCCAGATAGCCCTTAATATGTGGGGTCCCTCAGGGGGTGCTTTTCTCCCTGATGTTAACATCTACATGCGTTCCATCACTCAGCTGGTGCGGAGTTTCGGGCTCGGGTGTCACCAATATGCTGATGACACCCAGCTGTATCAGTTATTGGTTGGCCACCCGGATACCGCCCCACATAATCTGGCTGAAGGTCTGGTGGCCATGGTTGGTGGTTGAAACAGAGCAGGTTGAGACTGAATCCGACGAAGAGGGAGGTTCTGTGGCTGGAGGGGGGGGGTTCGGGATTGGGGCATAGACTTCCCGCTTTTGGTGGGGTGCCACTAACAGCAGTGCAGTCTGTCAAGAGTCTGGGAGTGATCTTGGATGCCTCCTTGAATATGGAGGCCCAGGTGATGCATATTGCCAGGCTGGTATTTTTCCATCTGCACCAGGCTGGGCAATTGGCCCCCTTCCTGTTGCACCCTGACCTAGCCACGCTAATCCATGCAATGGTTACTTCCAGGCTAGAATTACCGTAACTCACTCTACGCTGGCCGGCCTTGCCTTGAGACTGACTCAGAAGTGCCAGCTGATCCAGAATGTGGTGGCATAAGTCCTGATGGGAACATCACGGATGGCACATATACAACTGGTGTTGCGCCAGCTACACTGGCTTCCAGTGGAGTACTGAGTCAAGTTCAGTGTTTTGGAATTGACCTTCAAGGCCCTGAGCAATCAGGGACCGATGTATCTATGGGACCATCTCCTCTGTTATGTCCCCAAGACAGTGTTACACTCCTTGGACAGTAATTTGCTGGTTGTCACCAGCCCCAAAGATATTCGGCTGTCCTTGACCAGGGCCAGGGTCTTTTTGGTCCTGGCCCCAACCTGGTGGAACTCTCTGTTGAACACCATCAGGGCCCTGCAGGATCTTATACAATTCCACAGGGCCTGTAAGGTGGAGATGTTTTGCCAAGCTTTTGGTTGAGGGCAGCAACAGTTATCATCTTGGCTGGCAACCTCTTCTGCTGTCTGTACTCCCTGCCCTTCCCCCCCATGAAGTGATTGGCAGTCTGTAATTGAAAATAATTGGAACTCGCCATCTGAGTCTTTTAGATTTGTGGTATTAATGTTATTTAGATGTTTTACTCTATGTTTTGATGTCTTTATCACTGTACATTGCCCAGAGCCCGGCAGTAGCAAGGATTGGGTGATCCATAAGTCCAGTATTAATAATAGTAAAGAGATAAATTAACAAAGCCAAAATGGTACCCAGAAATAGCCTATTACAAGTCAGACCCAGAGCAGATAACAGAACATCATTGCTTATCACCTACAGCCCATCCGAGATATATTTCCCTCACACAGTTTTTTTGTAGCTTTAAGTATGAATGTATCTGCCTAACTTTTAAAATTTATAGTCAGCATTTCTCACTGAGACTCAAGGGAGGAGGAGGAGGAGGGTTTTATTGGCCTGCTTTTCTCTACCTGAAGGAGTTTCAAAGCGGCTTAAAATCACCTTTCCTTTCCTCTCCCCACAACCCTGTGAGGTAGGCGGGGCTGAGAGAGCTCTGAGAGACCTCTGACTGACCCAAAGTCACCCAGCTGGCTTCATGTGGAAGAGTGGGGGAATCAACCCCAGTTCTCCAGATTATAGTCCACCGCTCTTAACCACTACACCACAGCTGGCTCTCTAGACACCAAATACTGTAATACGACTAGAATTGCAGAAATCTGAAACAAGGCATAAATACTAAACATGACATGTTAAACCATGCAAGAAATGATATAACATAATTTATATATAACATGTAATATATAACATATGATGCAATGACAGCAAGATAAAAATTAGAGCAGAGAATACATATTACTGGAATAGTCCACATACTATTCATTCTATTGAAGCATCTTCTTATAATGCAGCTATTAGATGTACATTTTGTATATTTGATGAAGTGATCTGACTTATGAAAATTTATGCTGAAATTTTTACTCTTTAAGTAGCCTCTGGACAACTGTTTAATTTTATGGCAGTATGCAACACCATAACATAGCTATCCCTCTGGATTTAGCTGCACTAAAACAGTATCATATCTATTCCTTTATACATTTCATAATCAGATTTACTTCTTAATCTCCTTTTGAGTTAAATTAACAACACTGTCTAGATCTGAATTCTTGTACTATCCATATGTTGAACGTGTCTCCCAATGTTAATCTTCCTTTTTGACACATGACACTAGAACAAATACTATGCTAAAGGCCAATAATCATTGGAGATATTATCTTCATTATTGCTATGAATCAATATTATCAAGCATAAATAATTCAAACATCATGGTTACCCTGCTTTCTAAGCTTCCTAATTATTACACACCATTGTATGTAGCAGTTAACAGGCACTTAGACTGGTCAGTATGGTAACTGTTGCTTAAGAACACTTTGTATATTGTACAAACCAGACCATGCAAAAAACTGCACTATTGAAGATGGCTTTTCTACACTGGCAATAGGCTTGCACTGTCCAAAATGGTTTTACAAACTTGCTTGCATAAATGATATGGGACTGTGACTATACTGCTCTGCAGGCCTCGGTTCCTGCCGGAGTGCACCGGAGCACCGCTCTACCAGTCAGGAGGCCAGGGGGCGGGCACATAAGCCCCGCCCCCTGCTCCCACCAGCCATCAGTTGGGACACGGTGGGGGGGTGAAACGTTCCCCGCCTCCCTGAGCCCCAGGGTGGTGGCCTTGGACTCGTAGGGGCAAATTCCACCTCTTGCGCGAGAGGTCATTCTGGCTCCCCTAGATCTCCTTCGGGGATCCTTAAAAAAGTTATGGCTGCCGTCGCTGTTCTCGGTGGCAGCTGCGATGCCTGCGCAGGGGGAGGGGCGGGGTGAAATGTTCCCTTGCCTCCCTGAGCCCCGGGGTGGTGGCCTTGTACTCGTAGGGGCAGATTCCACCTCTTGCGTGTGATGTCGTCATGGAAAAAAGTAATTTTTTCCCCCACCATAGAGAACAATGGAGAGGATGGGGGCAACCTGTTTGGGGTCCTGTAGAATTGAACTCCCTGGTTCAATGTTCCTGAAACTTGGCGGGTATCTTGGGAAGAAGCCCCAGCAGCTACCCTGCAATTTTGGAGCCTCTCCCTCAAACCCCTTCTCCTCCAGGCCCCAGAATATACCCTATGTTTTCACCATTGACTTCAATGGCCCATAGGATATAATGGGGCCGAACTGTAGGAAGCCAATTCAGATCAGAGAATCTGATTCGGCCCGCAACAGCCTGAAAGGGGCCCGAATGGGCCATTTTCAGGGGTGCATTC